CAGGCCTGTCTAACTGCTCGAAGCGAAGGAGCCACTGCTCCCACTCTTACCACTTCAGACTTCCCCCACCATCCAGTAGTATCGGGGCAGCGGTTTCTCGCAGCATGAGTAGAAGTAGAATAGCTATATTCGATGGCTTTATGCGTAACTAAGAATACGCATACAGAGCACAAGTGCGTGTCATATTCTTATTTACGCATAAAGCAATATAACTGAGTATGGTATTGATGGTGATATCTCGGTATATATATGCGACTTTTTCAGAATATAATATATAATATAAATTAAATAAAAATAGGCTTTCCTGAATAAATCAATAAGTAAAGGAAATAAGGAGGCAATAGGAACCAAACGCGGTAATTAATGCGCAATCAAATTATCGTAACAATAAATATATTATAATAAAAACGGACGTTTCGACACTTTTTTGTGTCATCTTCAGCGTAAAGAAAATACATGATGGTCCCGAAGATAATACATAAAATTCGACGAAGTTGATCTACATAATTCAATCAGGCGCAGTCTAAATTCACGACAATAATACATAAAAATGAATCAAATCGGAGCAGGTAACGCGTGAACCAAAAGTGTAAATAGAAAATAAAAACTATGAGCCAAATAGGTGCAGTCAACGAGTAAAACAAAAAGTGTAAATTAAAAATAAATTCCACAATAAACTCTGTAAAGCTATATCCACACAAACTTGCATAGGTGCATAACCATGCGCATAACGAAACGGATTGGTCTATTTCCTTATGCACATGCGTATGGACCAATCAATTCTTTTATGCTTATGTTTATGCGCTATGCAAGTTTGTCTGGATTGACCTTTAGTCAAGCGCAGTCAACGAATAAAACAAAAAGTGTATGAGTTTACATTCCTTTGTTCTATCGCCCCGTTACACAAGTTTTAACGATGACTATAGTAATTTATAACTTTTGACGCATAATGATCCATGTAAGTTGAATATGTAATTTGCATTATTGTTTCCATTTTATATTTGTTACCGGCAATTTATTTTGTTCCAGCATTAAATGTAATTTGATAAGGAGACCCAAATTAGAGATCAAAACGTCGTTTAACATTAATCAATTATTGCCAGTCAGGCCGATCAATAAATAACTTATTGAAATATTATTCAGTTTTAATAATATGGTTTAAGCCTTTAAGTTGTACTGTGCATACACGTCGTAACGTGAGAACAGTAAGCTCATAAGCAAGCTAAGATGCTAGATGCTATATCCGCTAGAACTAGGAATACGTGTCAAATATGGAAAGAGTCAGGAAACCAACTGGAAGAGTGGGGGGAGTCGAGCTCGAGCTCCGTGGCGGGGGAAAGAGCCACGAGTGGCCCGCGGGCCGCAGGTTAGACAGGCCTGGTGTACGCAATGACGTGTAATGTGAAAGGGTGTGGGAACTATCTGGCAAAGACCAGAAAGATCGAAGGAAATAAAATAAAATATTTTTCCTTCCCAAAGGATCCAGCACTGTGTAATAAGTGGCGTCAAGCATGCGGAAAAGAAAATATTTCACCAAAATATGGTATGTACTTTTGTATAGTAATAGTTGCTTTCCATTTACACTCAAGTGATCTGAGTCACTCAGATATGTGAGTATTTTTATACTCAGGTAAGATATGTCATTTTGTATTTACCTGCTTATTTTGGTGACAAAGCTATCGCATAATAATAATACAGGTCCATAGCCTCACTTTTAATGTGAGTTTATTAGATTCATTAAAGCACATGGTTTCTGTTGAGGACGATTAGTTTTCGCGCTTCTCGAACTTTCGCGATCGGAATGCTGACACGAAGTCGGCACGAGGCGGGCCGGGATAGACCAAACTACCCCTCTCTTATCACCTGTGCTCCTGCTCCGAATTCTGTTGCAGATATCAGCTACCGGCGTGCGAGTGTGTATCGTCTTCAGAATAAATGCGACTTTCATACATAACGGTCTGATTTCTCTGTGCTACTCTATCTCTCGCAACCGTGCGTTCCCAGATTATCGCAACAGTCTCGATTGTGGATAAAAACTCAGCTGAATCTCACTTGCCATCATGCAAAAGGAACGTGCATTTAACTGAGTTATGACGTCACAAGTGCGAATTATCTGAGTTTTGATGTAAATGGAAAGCAACTAATATTGTACCACAGATTTCTCTTGTTTATTATTATAAGCATATATTTAAGAATCTTAAACCTTGTTTGCTTCAGCTAGGATATGTTCGAAGCATTTTGCTGATGAAGCTTTTACGAAGCCCTTACAAGAACATCTACTAGGTTATTCACCTACACGAACTAGGAAGATACATCCTGATGCTATCCCGACGTTGCATCTCCATGCAGTACCTCCACTAACATCAAACGAAAATGTGTTAGCTGAAACAATGCCTTTGCCTGTATCAAATGAAACCTGTATATTAAATATTTGCATTTATTGTTATTTGATCTTTTATCTGCATCTTTCCTCTGCATATATAGTTCTTTATGTCGTACGCCACAATATATTTTTGTTTTGCGTCTCAGCTAACAATTCTTTTCCAATCGTTTTCCGACCAGTTTTGATTAAAACTAATAATTCGCAGAATTTTAATAATAAATGACTGGAAATTAAAATCTCGTTTTATGTGAAATTTTTCCGTACGTCGCAATGATTTTTATTCAATGCACACAATTCTTTTTTTTTTTAATAATAATAATATTTTCTGTAATATCATATATTTAGACAAATCCACATAAAATAATTATAAAATTCGTCAAATAACAATAACGTTTCTAACATCTACAACGAGAGACAAATTCGGGAAACGATGAGCGTTTATCCGTATGTCACGTGCGTTTTTTATATTTATATATTTTTGTTCATATATATTTATTTATTTATAAAACAGAATTTTCTCTCACATAAATGATCAACATTATTTTGTATTCACATATTGTCCGCTCAAAATGCTTTTATAAATGACTATTATAGATTCGCTGCTTAAATGTGCCGCTCAGTGTGACGTAAGCTTGAACAAGTCGCTGATTGGCTGGGTTCGGAAATATGCGCAAGAGCATACCATTGTATTTCTACCATGAGAGAGACGTCTCGCGTGCACGCGTGCCTTGTTACGATTCGCTATTACATTCTTTATATCAGTCCATTGCATCAGTCTTGTGCATGACTTATTGTATCAGCCTATTACTGTATCTGTTCAATAAGAATACGTCAAATACATTCGTTCGTAACCAAGGTTGGTTGGATTGTTACATCTTGCCTTTGCTGGCTGGATTGTCGATTACATCTTGCCTTTGCTAGCTGGATTATGCATTACATCTTGCCTTCGTTGGTTGGATTATTACATTTTGCCTTTGTTGGATATATAGGATCCGCCATTTTGAATTTCACTAAACTAACTTTAATTTCGTAATCAGCGACCCCAAAAATAATCCGGGAGTCAGGGGATTAGATATTGAAGTTCACGGCGCAAAGCTGGAATTTTTTTAAATCGATTCTTATGATATCCCGTAACAAGCGTGTAAAGTCTCTAGAATCAACTCGGCCCGCTTCGCCTTTTTTTATTGCAAAATATATTTAAAAACGCGTTTCTGTATAGTTTTCTTTAAATAACTCCTTCTGTGTTGGTCAAACGAAAAAACTTGAAGAGAGGAAAATTGTTCGGAAGGAAATTTCCTATAAGAATAAGCCTTAAAAAAATTAAAAAAATTTTTTTAATTGCAAAATTGCAAAAAATACGCGAAAAAAGGGCCATTTTTACAGGTTCCCGAAAACTGGGTTAAAAATTATCATATTTAAGCGGACATTCACTCAATGATACCTTTCAGTATGCTGAACAAGTGTGCACAAGGCTCGCCTCCAATTTTTATATGGCTGCCTATTAACAAATTATTTATGCAAATCGGACGCTTGGCTCTCACGTCTGAACGGGTGAACTTATTTTGATGCATTTTATCGGAAATGAAAGGTAACGATGTCTGCTTTATGAATTTAAAATAAAAAAAATTTTTTTTTCTAAAATTTGACTATTATTTTAAACAATTTAAATTTCGCATATTAAATATCGGCGTTATTTATTGGCGTACAGTAATGCAAATAGCACCATTGGTTTGCGCTTAAAAAATTATGAATTTCAAAAAAAAAAACGTCCCGATACGACCAATAGAAGCCGAGATAATTGACTTTTACATAATTAATGATTACAGCTAAATTATTTCATATTTTTACTTGAAGTTTGGTGTGAAGGTACTAGAGTGAGTGCTTTAACGGTAGAATTTTTTTTGCTGCAATTCGACTGCCAGGTTCGGCGAAAAAAATGTCAAATACAGAGGTTTTAGAGCGAGAGCGCCGGAGCGGACGCAGCGGCGGGTCGACTGCGTGGCGCGCAGGCGCGCGAGCCGCCGCTGCGTCCGCCAAGCTCGCTTAATTAACAATTACTTTTCTCTGCAACAAAAACACGTATCCAAACGATTTTTTTTTAAATCTGCTTGAAATTTTCCGAATTTTATGATTATCACATTATAAATGTCATATTCTCAGTATTAACGGAGATAAACAAGATATATTAGGAAAAATACGTATTAATTATTAACAAATTATTTTTGTGATATTTTATACTGTATTGTATATTGTATATTGTCAATACAAAGAGAAAATAGGTTTTCTACACACTTATTTTACTTTATTTTACGTGAATTTTTCCGAGTCTTTTTTTGCTTAAAATAATTTAATTTGTTTTTCTAGTTGCAAATAATACAGAATAACGCATGGTGAACTTCTTGAATCTTTGAAAGATTCGTATCGCTTTATCCGCGTACTTATCAACGGAGCGAAGACGAGCGAACAAGCGCGAACACGTCTTTTCTTTGATGTCGGTGCGATAGTATATTGTTTGTACCTTATTTCCATGTAGAAGCAGACCCTGAACGCTCGTGCAGTGTAACATTGTCATTTTTAACAATCTCAGAGAAATTTCCATTGATTGTGGCCATCGTTTTGCATTATAATTCTACGTTTAAAGAATATACTTGGCGCGAGATATTACCGTGTCTCTTGACAAATAAATAAAAATGGATCCTGAAGAAAACTGCGTCGCCTGCAATGAGAATTTATCGAGCGAGAAAGTTATCGCGATTAGTGCTGCACGTCGTGAAACATTTAAGGAAGCCAGCAAAGGTAGAGGCGACAGATTATTCACACGTGTTTCGGAAAACGACAGCATTCATGAGAAATGTTACAAATCTTATACACATCCCGATAACGTAGCTGCAGTTGTACGACAACGGAATATGCAGGGTCCATCGATATGTACAAGGTCAATAGGTGCTACTGACTTTGATTTTGAAAACCTGTGCATATTTTGCAGAGAAGATGCTTCTCAGTCGTTTTTAAAAGAAGAAATGAAAAAAACAAAACGGAAGAGGATACGTGTTTGTCGACTTGAAAATAAAAAAACGCTAAAAACTATTAGCGAACGGGCTAAGCAGCGGACAGATTTGAACGCTATTAATGTCTCTACACTTGTAGCAACAATCGATCTGGATAAAGTTACTCCAAAGTATCATTACCCTTGTTTAAAAGATTTTCACAAAGTTAACGTTCCGTTATCACGCGTAAACATAAGTGCTCCAGTAATTGAACATATTATACGGTATCTACAAGATCACAGAGAAGAGTGTCAATTTTCTTTAAGTACAATTTTAAGTAGTTACAATGGCGAACTTCCGACTAATACAAGGATTTACGAGAAACTTGAAGAGGCTTACGGAGATGAAATAATCATCACCAAGTTGAGAAACAGAGAGCTTACGATATGTTTCAAAAATACGGGATATAAAATTTTATCAGATGTTTGGTATGAAAACCAAGAGGAAAACATTGAAGATGAACGACAACGGGTCGTTGATACGGTAGCAGATTTACTTCTTGAGGATATTCGTTCACAGGTGTATGATACTAATGTTTATCCTACTCCTCACACGTTTTTAGAAAATGCGGAGAATGACATACCGCCTACTTTAAAGTCATTACTAGAGCGAATAATTCTAAAAAATAAGAAAGGTGATACAGATAAATGGCGTGTAAAAGCAACTACAATAGCACATGCAATAATTGCAGCAGTGAGGCCACGGTCATTTTTATCTGCAGTTCAAATAGGCGTCGCGTCGTTGATTCATCAAAACCGGCTCAAAAGACGTGTTACGCCTCTTATCTGCCTTAGGATGGTGTGCTTCGTATGAAGAATCCACATTGTTCCAAATTTCTTCTATTATGCATAACACGGAGCCTGATCTGTCAAAATGTTATTCACAGTTTGTGTTTGATAACGCCGATCATAATGTTAATACTCTTGATGGTCTCAAAACTTTTCACGCCATGGGAGGTATTCAGTGTGTAACCCCTTCTCATTTGATTTCATCAGAGTCACTGATTCCGAGATTAAAAACAATGCCTTCGACTGAGTTTGTCGGTAAATTTGGTGCTATAAGTTTTAAGCCTTTCCACAGAGAACGTGTAGTCGGACTTGGAGGAATAAAATTAGTAGACTTAGCAGAACAAAATTCTATTTCTTCTAAAATTGAAATTTTACCTGCAGATTTGTTATGGATTTATGCAAAAAATGCTGATGCCGTTAACATACCTGGTTGGAATAATTTTTTGGAAAAAGTCACTAATCACTTACCAAGTGAAAAATCGCGAGTTATTTTTCTTCCATTCGTAAATGCTCCACCAAGCAACTACGACACAATCTATACAGTGCTCCATGAGTCACTTCGTAGAAGCCAGTCATTAGGCCAACAAAACTGCTTTGTAACGTTTGATCAGCCGTTATACTGGAAAGCTCGAGACATTATAGCTTGCTCTCCTGAAAATTCTGAGTTACGAAGTATTATTTTGAGACTTGGAGGATTCCACTTATTAATGTCATACCTAGGATCCATTGGATTTATTATGGAAAATAGTGGCCTAAAAGATCTCTTCTGTGAAGCTTTTGCTCCCAACTCTATTAATAGAATGTTGGATGGACATGAGTATGCCAGAGCCATAAGAGCGCATGATCTGGCTCATCTCGCTTTGGCAAAAATCATTTTATCAAAAGTAATGTTTGCTGAAAAAGAAAAAAATTATTTAGAAGAGACTTTACAAAATATTGGTAATCAAGAAACTTTGAAGAAATTTGAAGAAACCAATTTTAAAAGTATTTGCAGTAAATTCGATAATTGTTTAAAAAAGTTAGCTGACAATGGCCCGACTGCCCAATTATGGGCACAATATTTTAATATGGTAACTTTAGCTAAACAATTCATTGAGGCTGAGAGGACTGGAAATTGGCAGCTACATCTTAATGTAATTCAAAAAATGCTTCCGTATTTTCATGCGAGCGGTCATTTTTTGTACGCAAAGTCTGCCCATCTTTATGTACAAGATATGCTTAATCTGCAATGTGTAATGGATAAATCAGAATTCACAAAATTTGTCTCAAACAGCTACTTCACGATTAGAAGATCTAACAAATTTCGATGTGGTATTTGGACTGATATGACGATCGAACAAACACTGATGAAAACTATGCATAGCGCAGGTGGACTTACTCGTGGGAGAGGTGTTTCTGATAGCGTATTAGCTAAGTGGATTCTT